GGAGAAGATACAGGCGGGACAGGCGTAAGACCCGCAATGGACTACAAATGATTCAATTGCCTGTCCACGAGGTCGATACCAATATACTAATCGCGGCGTTTTGCTGCGAGGATTAGGCTTTTTGGGTTGATGAGCTCGAAATATGCCGGTCTGATAAAATCGCCGGTGTGCAGTCCTTGACTTTCACAGCAACGTCCATCTCCTTGGCTTCTCCGAGAATCATCCGATAGGATCGAGCAATTTCTCGCATTGGTCCCGTGTTGATGGATGGCACAATCAGCCGGCGACTGCGACGCCAACGACGCATATAATCTCCTTGGCTTTGTTGCCCCACCCCCACTCCCCCACCACTGACTGAATACCCCTTCTGAAATGACGCCACGTCCGTTCAAGCGCATCGATGTCGAGGAAACTATATCTAAGCTTACCTTGAACGAGAAGAGTAGGTTGTTGGCTGGCATTGATAACGTACGTGGCAGTATCCCAGCGATAGAATGAAGTTTTGACGAGGTCGGCGTAGTGGCATACATACCCAGTTCCACGTCTTGGTGTGCCATCCATACGGGTGAGTACTCACCACCGGGTTCTACGCTCGAATTGACAGAACGGTCTATCAGTTCACCGATGGCCCTAATGGAGCCCGCGGGACCATGTGTGAGCAAAGTCCTAACCAAGCTCTTTACTTGGCTAAAGAAGCTTTGTATAGTCTTCGAAGGTGTCCCGGCCGCCTGTTTCCCCGCTGCAACTGGCCTAGCGTCCTCTTGGGACCCAGAATTCGCTCAGAAAGTAGGCAGGGCCATTGCACTCGACTGCAAAGACAAGGGTATGAACACATGATTTCTCTTTTATTTCATACTCATCACTTTACCAGGCTCCCACGTCCTCCTTGGCCCTACGGTCAACATCCAACGCTCTCCCCTTGGCGGCCGCGGCTTCGAATCATACTCGGAAGACCCTCACTTATCGGGCATCCTCGCCCGTGCGTTCATCAAGGGTGTTCAATCGGAGAACGTCGCAGCCACGATCAAGCACTATGTCTGCAACGACTCGGAGTTTGAGCGCATGTCCATGTCGTGTAAGTACACTCCCCGCTCACCTCCGAGGTCGGTCCAAGCTGACAAGCAAATGTGCTAGCCGAAGTATCAATCCGTGCGCTCCGCGAGATCTATTTACGCCCTTTTGAATTGGCGATCCGTGATAACGCGAATGCGCCTTGGGCCATCATGTCCGGCTATAATCGTGTGAATGGTACGTTCCAAATGAAAGTTCGCGTTTGTGCTTCGAGTTATTCATATGCGGGGATGAATTGCAGGTCTGCATGCTTCGGAGAACAAGTAGTAAGTCTTTTTTTCTGGAAATATGTCACTCGGTTTAGCTCCTGACACGTCGTTTGCAGTCTGCTCGATTCTATTCTACGGAAACAATGGGGATGGGATGGGATGATCATGTCAGATTGGTACGTGCTGAATATATTTGTTTGATGGTATTATCTTATACATTGTATAGGTACGGCACATACTCGTCCGATGCAGCTATCAAGGCTGGGCTCGATCTTGAGATGCCTGTGAGTAACTCGGCACCCTCATGGCTGAGGCTGTCTTACTAAAGAGTGCATATAGGGTCCCCCAACGTGGCGTGCGGATGCTCTGCAGCGTTGTGTCGTTGCGCAAAAGATCAGGGTGGCGGAGGTTGATGAGCGCGTGCGCAAGGTAAATATTTTGTCCTTGAATCCACGAGACGTGACTCAACGCTACTGAATAGGTTCTGGGCCTCATCAACCGAGTCGCTGCGTCGGGTATCCCAGAGAATGCAGACGAGACCGGGGTACCAAAGAAAGATACCGTCGACCTCCTCCGCCAAGCGGCAGCAGTACGTGTTTCCCATCCACATTGCCTTGTCGACTTCAACTTACCATCTCGTAGGGTGCCAACGTCCTCCTCAAAAATAGTGCCTCTCTCCTTCCTCTCTCTGCCTCCTCAACCTCCTCCATCGCAGTCATCGGTCCCAACGCCGACGCGCCCGTCTTTTCCGGTGGCGGATCCGCCAACCTCCGCCCGTACAAACACACCACCGCCCTCGACGGGATCCGCGCCGCACTGCCACCTTCCACCCAAGTGCACCACGTGATCGGGTCTCATGCTCACAAGGAGGCGCCGCTGTTGCTCGACAAGCACCTAAAGACTAAGGATGGCCAACCCGGGTTTGATATCGAGTGGTTCAACGAGGATCCGCTCCAGGTTCCTGGGACGAAGCGGGTGCATTATACGAGGGGTACAAGCTCATTCTCGTTCTTCAACGATAACCTGCCTATTGATGTGAGCACATGGATGTTAGAGGCGCACATTTAATAATGACCTGGATCAGATTCTCGCACCTGCGTGCTGGGCAACCATAACCGGATACTACACTCCCGAGGTGTCGGGCAAAGTTTGTATCATTTGATCCCGTAGTACACGCATATACTAATATAATCCCATAGTACGAGTTTGGTGCTGCTGCGACTGGACTAGTCGACATGTACATCAACGGCAAAAAGGTTGTCGACAATTCCACCGACCCCAAGCCTGGACGTAAGAATCCTTCATTTTTTTCGTCTATAACAACCCGTCTAATGCTTTTCTAGACGTATTTTTCGTGACCGGCACGCTCGAAGTTTGCGGAACTATCGAGCTCGAAGCAGGCAAGCCCGCCGAAATTATTCTGCAATACGCGAGCCCGGTCGCCGCACAGTCTAAAGGATTTGCTCAAGTTGGCGCCGGGTCTCTCTCCAACGAGAGCCGGGGAGGATGCCGATTTGGGTGCTCGCGCGTGATAGAAGATGACGTTGGCGTCAACGAGGCCGTGGAGGTTGCCAAGAAAGTCGAGACGGTTGTGCTCGTCGTGGGCTTGAACAATGGTGGGTCTCCTCCATGTTGCCTCGGCCAGCACTAATTTCCGCGCCCAAAGACTGGGAGTCCGAAGGTTACGACCGAACTGACATGATCCTTCCGCGGGCGACCAACAAACTCGTTCAATCTGTGCTCGACGTGAACAAAAACACTGTTGTTGTCATCATCAGCGGCGCCCCCGTTTCGATGCCTTGGGCCGGCTCGGCTTCGACGATCGTCCAGTCGTTCTACGCGGGTGGCGAGGCCGGTAACGGGCTAGCGGATGTTTTGTTTGGAAAGGTGAACCCTAGCTCGAGGTTGCCGCTTACTTTCCCAATTGTGAGTGTTTCTTAACTGAGGGGACACTGAATCTCATCCATAACCTGTAGAAAGACGAAGATACGCCCTCGCACTTGAACTTCCCTGGACAGAATGGAAAGGTTTTGTACTGTACGTTGGAGATGCTGCAATCACTGAGAGATTACTGACCGTATGCGTTGATAGCCGAGGGTGTCTTTGTTGGGTACAGGCACTACCAGACCTTCAAAAAGGACGTGCTCTTCCCCTTTGGTTTCGGTCTCTCGTAAGTGCTCCATTGCTTTCACCTTCCTCTCTAAACTTGTGGCGGACAAGGTACACCCAATTCGAGCATTCGAATCTAAAAGTATCCGGGTCTGTTGGCAAGGATAGCACAGTCACGGTTTCCGTTACTGTCAAGAACGTCGGAAAGATTGCTGGCCGGGATGTTGTGTAAGTTTCCAACGTTCGCTCGGTGTAACTCGCCTGACTGTCTTGTAGCCAAGTATACGTTCGCGATCTCGTCTCCCGCCTCGACCGACCCGTCAAGGAGCTCAAAGGGTTTGCCAAAACAGCGACGCTCGAACCCGGAAAGTCCGCTACCGTCTCGATATCCCTCGACAAGTACGCCTTTGGTTACTTTGATGATTGGGCTGGTGAGGGCAAAGATGGAGAGGGTCTGTGGGTCGCAGAGGCGGGCGAGTTTGAGATTGTGGCAGCGGCCAATAGTGCAGATTCTGGGTTGGTCGCTCCGATTAGCTTGAAGGAGTCGTTTAATTGGCTTTAAATGGTGGACGATTGGATTCACAGTACTGAATATCAATCGTATACATATTATTCGAAACTTTATTGCTAGTGTAAAATACAATAGTGCAGATGGAAGCCGGGTGGTACTTGTTGCGAGTATCTCCGTAATTAAAAGGTATGCCATGCAATTGTGCTGCCACACTTATTCAACAGGTGCCGTGGCTTGCCATAGCTTTAACTAGATACGGTATGGGACGAAAGGTTTGCGGATCCGGGTATATCCGGTTTCAATCAGCTGTAGCTGGCGTAAAAATATAAGTGAGATACCAAAAGATACTTAACAGCCATGGTGACCAGGAACATTCTACCCTCTTTTGGTGTATATATGCATCCATTTCAAGCTACATATCCTCCTGGAACTGGGCCACAAAGTTGCAATCAGGTCCCCTCTATACCTCTAGTGCATACTCTGGTAGTTTCTGCTTGCCTGCAGCAAGTAAAAGCTACTTGTATGCATTCAATTCCCCCGTATGCACCTTTTGTACGGTCTGAAACATTTCTGGTAAAGTTTTTATACCCCACAGGGCTTGCAAAACATAACCTAGAGTTCTTTTAATTCAAAATACTACTCTGTTCATCCTCATTCTGGCAGGTCCATGTCCCTATAATCTAGAGCTCATCATCCATTCACCCACCAAGGTCCAGCTAGTTGGCCACAACTATAGCTCAGTGCAGCCCTAACACAGTGCTTTCTACCAATACTATGGGTACTCCTCTGGCTTGCTTGGGTGTAGACTTCTGGGGGTATGTTCAGTAAACCTGATTCCAGAGATAAAATGGTTTGCATACACCCCTGCATTTGTACCAACCATATCTCCATGGTTTTCTGGCCAATCCCAGATGTCTTATACTTATTCTGTAACCCTAATACCTAGGTACCTTTCTGTATATTATTTATATTTTTACGCCTTCTGGTTGTGTAGCTACAGCTGGTTGAAACTGAAAGTACTGGCTGGGCTTGCAAATCCTTTTGTCCCATACTGCAGTTATAGTTCATGGAAATATATTTGGTACACAGACCAAAAGAGTTGCTCCCTGTGAGGCTCGAACTCACGACCTTTGGATTACGTAATATAACTGTATTACTCATATCTATGAGACCAACGCTCTACCAGCTGAGCCAAGGAAGCATCACGTGAGCTTGCCTTAGATATTATCTGAATGTCATACAGTGTAGATTTAGCCTGGAGTGCCACTGTCTCATATTACTTCTACCTTCCAGTAGTACCTCAGTGGTGCAAACACCATGTAATAGTACAGTGGAACACCAGAATCCGCATGCATTCGGGAAATTGGAAATGAGACAAGTGTGTGGATTCTGGTTTGCCGCACACCATGTACAAATAATGGAGAAGCTACCATGTGATTAATTCTCTGGACTCTGGTATGTAGGAAACAGCACTAGAAACTTGGTAAAGAGTCAGGGCAGGGGGTACAAAGGCTTTAATGCTTGGGAAACATACCCGGCAGACCACTTAGCTTGTAGGGTAGCGCTGTTCACATAATAGTTTTCTCAAGGTGGTGTAATTTGAAATCTGACTTGGGAAAAGCAGGATACTGGTTCCCAAGCTTTTTATGCGAATTAAAGCTATGCGAAATCTGGCGTTCCACTGTATATGCCCACACTGCCCAGTCTGCATCCAAAGGTCGGACCGTGAACCTTTTGGTCACATGTAGTCCAGACGATGACTATATGCGTCAGTATGAGTACGGTATGTGCATCTCAAATTGAGAGGAAATACAACGAGTGATTGGCTTTAAACCCCATATCCTGCGAGGAGTGCCCAAATATTGACATGCACCTCCCAACTTGTGTCAGCCAGGTTTGATAGTACACCAGTAGAAATCCAACACAACACTCCACAACATGGAGACCGCGTATAACTTATAACATGAATTGACTTTCCCCCGCTTCCTGTATCTCTAGCATGAAACCAAAGCACTGGGTTCCCGCTACAAACCCTAAAAATACAAAACATTGTGCACACAAATTCATGGGTTTAAGGGCTCGGACATGACCCGACCTCGTTCCTCCCCATTGTAAAGCAATACACCGCGCAGTTCATTAGTATCGAGTCGGAGCCCGAGTTCAAATTCTAGACGTATCCAATACTATGTCAGCCCGAACATGCCGGATATCTCGTGTAAGGATCATACCTGTATAGAATCCATTCTGAAAACATGTCCGAAATAGCATTTAGTATGGGTGGTACCTGGGCATTAAATAGTACATACCCGACTCTCCACTCTGGCACGCTCTTTGAAGCTTGGCAACAAGCTCAAATCAATAGTCCATTTGCACAACTCGGATGTTTCGCCTTCGTCCGTATACCGCATCATGCGCTCGCTATCTGACATGAATACTTGCACTTCAAACGTGGAGTCTAGCGAGTTCCTGTCAGCATTCCTTCAAGGTGGGTGGGGCAACACGAACCTTCGACGGTCTTTGAAAACTTGCGAAACATAATTTTGACCATCTGACCTTTTTTCAAGACCGCCCCTTTTTGGATGAGGTACTGTATTCGGTTACTACAAACGCTTTTTCCTTCGGCATCTTGGGCGATGTAGCCTGCACGCATCCTCCAGTCTTCAGGCTCAGCGGGGAGCTTGACCTGTCCAATTCAAACGCCTTGTTAAAAGAGGAATGAAATCGGATCAAGTAATGTACCTTCATAACGTATGACCGGGGTGCGATGTAAGACGCCATAGGGACGCTATTTTCAAGACCGTATCGTGCAGCACCACGGCACGCTGCCGTATCTGGGTCAGGCGGGCGGGCAATAATCTTGATGCGAGTCCCAAATTGTTCCTAAAAGACCATGCAATTAGGCAGCATATAACGTGCCGTCGAGTTGAGTCCGGATAACCGACGTACACAAAGGAAGAACTTACATTGACCCGCTTAAATAAATGTTCACTCCAAGCAAACCTCCCGACTAGCAACAATGCATCGATGTCCCGCCCAAACTTTGCAATTTGATCGTTGATGAACCAAAGAACTGCGGAAACCACTGGTTCGAAGATCTGCTTCCACATTCTTAGCTACGGTTCTTGACGATGAGTTTGAAGAAATAGATCCAACATACCTCGCTCCGCAGCAACATTCCAGGAATGTTAAGTTCACTGTTGACTAGCCCAATCGACCGGTCGTCTGGGTATTCAGGGTTGAAGCAGCTAAACGGGAATAATGCACCTGCGCCGTTGTTAATGGCATTCACACCCTCAGCAGCCGATAACTCACGATCATCATCCTCTCTTCCAAACGAGAACTTGACCGTTTCGTCAAATGCTGCCTGAAAATAACCCAGGCTCTGGTAGTCCGTATGCATCGGATGTCGAACTAGCAGTCTTGTCACCAAGTCTCGGAACCTAGTCTCCATGGATCAGCGTCCACTCCAAGTATTCGACGAATCGTACCTCAAACTTAGCAAAGAATCTCCGCAATTCGCCTGGGTCCGCACGCATACTTCGCCTATTTCCAGGTTCCTCAAGCTTCCCAACACCCTGTAAATCACGAGATCGAATGTGCTTCCTCCGGCATCGCAGATCATAAAGTTCTGGGAGGATCGGAGTAGGCGGAGATCCGTGAAATGTGCACAGTGCGCAGCAGATGCCTCGGCTTTGCTACGATCAAGGTAAGAATACAAGGATGCGCCTGAGCGATAGACGCACCTGATTATCTCCAACCGGTCTTTCCGCTTACCATCTACCTCGTTTGGCGACGTATTTCCCCATGCGAGCCCGGCTCGAACCGCAACTTTGCGCATGAGATCGCAAGCGTCAGGGTTCCAAGAAGTAGGGACCGTGAGCCATACTTCTGTTAAATCTATCATTGATAGCTCGTAAGTAACGTAAATCAAAGGTGCGTAGACATCAATGACTGGGGGCGAGGACCCGGCCGTGCTTATTCCTAAGCCACCCCGAAAATGAACAACGTACCCAAGTCGATTACAGCCCCAATATCACGCGTGATTTGTTGCAAGATGTAGCTCCGCAGGCATGTCAGGAAATCGGTAACGACATCAATAGAAAATTTGCCACACTTTCAATTAGGATTAGTTGGAAGGATTCGGAGAACAAGCAAACTATCAGGGAGCAGGCCACCTGAGATAAAAGAGAGCTTACAGGCAAGTCCGACAGACCAAGATCGGGAGCGCTGCCGAGGCCTTTGGGCTCCAAAACCTGCTTAAACCCTGCCATCTGTTTGGTCAACGCGTTCCGATATCGAGTGGCTGCAGCCACGTACATTCACAATTTACAAATCCTGGGCTAGGAGGTGCGTTCTGCGACATATATACTATGAGACCACAGTAGTAATGAATTGCGTGGCCACCTACTTGAGCTTCGAGACCCCACAACTGCACCTCCCCTCGCTCGTTATAAACCAAGCAACTCGGGACCCGTCGCAGATCCTCATCAGAGCCCGGCCACCGGAGGATTTGTTCTATATGTCCACCCGTGATACGTGATGCGTATGCCTTGGAATATGTCGCTATTTAGTTTGGGATTTATAATAATATCCGACTCACGACAGCCGAGGAATCCGTTCCAAAATCGATCGATACAACGATCTTTCCAACAGCCACTGATTGCCTATTTATAGCTGCTTCCGAGTTGGAGCTAGATCTCGTCGAATCGCGGGACAAGGTCGTGGCTGGTGAGGTTGTGTCGTTGCGGAGCGAGTTCGTCCCTGAGCTCATACTCCGTGCGGACTGTGGTATATCTGTCGCATTGTTTTGTTGACTCGGCACTGGATTGGGTCGAGGCAGACTCCTTCTTTGGCCTCTTTCATGGGGCAAAGGCGCTGGGGCACCCTTGTGGTGCCGACGTGGATGGACAGGTGGGGGGATATAAGAGCTCTGCCGGTTCGGCTGGTAGGAGAGCAGATGGGACGACGCTGTACGTGCGAGCCGCGGTTCTTGGCTTGGTGGTTGACGGTCAGCGATATTGTTCGGGAGGGCATTTCCCCTGTGTGGTTGTTCCGACTTGTTTTTGAACGTCTCGAGTTCCGTTATCCGGCGACGAAATTCTTCCAAGGAGTCAGTTAAGCTAGCAATTAGAGCTCGCAGCTCATGGATCTCTCCTTCAGCGTTGTAGATCCGATGAGTAAGCGCCGTCACATCGCGCGCATATTTGGCTTCGAGGGCCTCTAATCTAGCCTTGAGGTCTGAACCAGCTCGAGCCTGGTGTCCAGAGAAGAGAGCACTCATTGTGTTGTTCGGGTAGCGTGACTGCAGCTAGCTATCGGAGCAGCCAACGCGATTGACCGACCCGGAAGATAAAACCCTCGACCAAGAGCGCGATCCAGTGGGCTGCCTCGGTGATCGCAGCGGCAAGGCACGTAGGCCACGGTTAATGGCAGAATGCAGATCAAGCACCGCAAGCGCGAGGCGTCGGATGGGTTCATCTCATTGGGCGCTCAAAGCTATGCCAAGAATAAAACGTCAAGCAGCAGAGCCTCAATCAACACGTGACTTCCACCAGACGCTCATGTGGCGAGGTGGCAAACTACGACAACTTCCGCATGTGTTCACCGTCTGAGTGTAAAAGCCCCTAACCCTTGGAATTCCCAGCGGTACGTAGTCACGTTGTGCGTGAAGTGGCGATTCAGGCGAGTCCAGAATGCCTCTGTTACCAAGGGCACAGGCAGGAACTGGACTGATCGAGAATTATTACGTACGTCCCATCCTACCTTCACTCGTGCTCACATTTATGTCTCGGAGTAGCTGCCGTCTACTGCGCACACCTGGCTAGCCTATACCGGCTCCGCCCACCCTAGAACTGGACGATCTGCGACACCGCGGTGGAGGTACTGCCGGCCTCGCGATCTACAAGATCCTGGGCAACCTCCCCAGCCTCTAAATTGGCAAAGTCTGCGCGCGGAGGTGCGAATTGAGGCAGTCTCATTCCTCATTTATGTACCAAATGAGTTAAAACACGCCCAAACTAATATATCCCCAGCCAGTGTCATCAAAAACGGGGTCAAGCGCCGAGTTGGCCACATCCGCTCACTAAATGGCCCACGACACAGTACATCAGGCCTTCCAGTTGACCCAAGCGCAAATACAACATACCGATATTCATAGCCGTTGTGCCGCGTCATTGGGGGTCTGGCCCCTTTTTGAAAATA